GAGTGCATGTCAAAAGAGCAAGAGGATTTCGATTTCTCAGTTCATGACCCTTTAATCTTACCATATAATCCTGCATTATTCTGTATGAAACAAATACTGCTCTTGTAACAGCCATTAACTGTGATATAGAGAGTATATATAACATAAAAGAGTGCATCTCTAAAAGTCTGCTGATGCCAGATAACTCATCCTCTTTCCCATCATCGCTCTTCTTCTCACAGTAAAAACACCACATGCTTGTGCGGTTAGCATAGCGATTGCAGGCCAACACATGAGCTCTATTGATGCTTTATACAACAAGGCTTCCCTGCAGTTTAACTGTCACGGTTGTTAACACTCCCTTTCCTGAATTTGCTATAGAGGGCAAGTGGAAGGAAACTTGCTAGGCCAAGGTTGTTTCAGATGTAAGATAAAAGATGCCACACCATTGCAATAGAGTTTGTGTGAGAGTTTCTAAATATCTTATGAAGTCTAATACTTTTGGGCTTCATGTCGTTCTGTTTTTCCCTGAAATCTTTTTTTAAACAACAATATTTTGCCATAAATACTTTACAAAATAAAACAAAATACTACTGAAGCATCAAATTTTAATCATAAGAAATGATTCCGTTTTCAAAACATGAATAAAATGTGCCGAATGAGTGTACCCAAACGACAATGTGGGAGTTCTGTTCTTTTTGTGGTGTTCTTGAGATAAAGTTTAGTGTTATTTTAGTGCATGTGAGCGTAAAACTTGTAGATAGGCCAATGCATAATTCATGTGCTGTCAGATATAAAATGCAAGAGCTGTACTGACAGATTAAAAGGCAGCATTTGCAAGTGTGTGTTCTGATGTGCAAAATACATAAAATGTCTGCTTTACAAGAAAGATGCCCTCATTGCTTATTTCTGAAGCTTCCAGAGGAGAAACTGTTTATCACACAAAATATCACAGCTTACAACACGTAGCAGAGACGGTTAACATACCTGTATGATCATTTGTTACTCTACTAACTTAAAGTGTGAGTTGGCTACACTTGGCAGGTTTGATTCAACTAAAACAAACTCTGCTATGAGCTCTGGTGATGCTTTATTAGTGTGGGAATAAGTGTGAACAGTGTCTTCCAAAAACATGATGCACACCAAGTAAAAACTATTGTATGCTACAAATGAAATATTGAAAACAACACCGACCAAAAACATCCAAAAGGACAAAAAACAAGAAATGATGTCACAAGAAGCTCTAATAAAAAGACAGAATGCTTACATATGCCTTTTTTCTCATCATAGTGACAATTTTGCCCATAACAGTTCAAAAAAGCATCAAAAACACATCTCATTAAGCAGATATTCATTTGTATGTGAGAGACTGAGAAATGGCTGATAATTTTTTACTCTTGTACACATTACAAGCACTTTTATAAGTTCTCAGCTGATAAAATACTACTGAAACCAGCACATTCAGCAAATCATCTAGCATTGTTCTGGATTTTTGTATAAATTTAGCATTAAAGGCACAGAATGTAATTTGCACTGCTAGAGGATACCTATTCACTACAAACACAGGCAAAGGCTGAGTCCGAAACTGCCTACTTCCATACTATATAGTACACCATAACCATTATTCAAGTCGAGCAGTATGTCCGAATTCATAGAATTCGAAAATCAGTATGCAAGAAGTATCCGAATGACCAGGGCCAGACAGAATCTGCGGACGTTTTTTGCTAGTTCTGCGGAGATTTTTGGTAAAAATCTGTGGATTTCTGAGGAATTATTTTGGGAGTATCCAGCGGAGTATCATAATTAAAACCTTAATATATGAAATAAAAAGTACTAAATTACCGAATAAAAACTTAATAAATTCAGATTTACACATTTACTCAAGTAAATAAACAGAATTAATGATGGGCTAAAAATCTGCGGAATTCTGCAGAAATTCTGCAGAAAATCTGTGAAAATTCCGTGTGAACCTACGAATTACCCACTACTTCCGATGAGACTCTGAAGTGCGCATCCCATACATGCTGCACTATGTCGTGATGCCCCGCCGAGAATTCATGAATGGGAGTAAAGTGACACAACTGACGCGGGTAGGTCACGTAACAATGACAAAATGACAGATGTAGTATTTCCGAATTCCATTCATACTGCTCAAATTCATTCTGTATAGAACTTCTAACAGCCGAGTAGTACGTTTAAATTCAAATGCAGTACCTACTGAATAGTACGCGATTTCAGATGCAGCTACAGTCTGACGACGGCATGACTGAGTGTGGAATCATGGGACTTGTCATCTTCATTACATCCTAAAAGACTCCTAAAATCATCCACAGATGAGCTAATGTATTCAAAACCACTATCACGATCATGGTAAAACACAATTATTATGGTAGTTTGAAGCAGGGTGGTGCTGAAAGCCATCAAAGTGAAACGAGGACACTGAAACAATTGCTGATGAGAGACTAGCATGACGCTGAACGAAAGCAGCAAAGCTTTTATTATGCCACTGTCAACCATTTCTAGGTGTGATCATGTGGGGAAGAAGCAGCGCTGTTCTGCCATACTGAATTAGGGTTTTGGTTAATGCTTCTCTGTGTAGTCTAAAGCAGTGTTTCTCAACCACGTACCTAGTGGACCACCAAACTGCATGTTTTGGATGTCTCCTATGTCTGTAACACCTATTACAGGTCTTTCAGTCTCTGCTAATGAGCTAATGATCAGAACCAGGTGTGTTTGGTTAAGGAGACATGGAAATGTGCAGTGCAGATGGTCCTCCAGGAATGTGGTTGAGAAACACTGGTATAAAATAAATGTCGGGACAAGCCAATGGTCGGTCATTTCAAACAATGACAAGTACACAATTTAAGTAAAGAGGGAAAACTTTAATTAATCTGCTTTAATTTCCTTAAATTTCTCCAATATTTGCAAACGATATGGATTATTAGATTAACAAACATATTTTTATGAGCAAATCCTTCAATTCCCTGACAATTACTGTGATTATGTTACTAAACGCTGCTTTGTTTATGCTTTGTCTGTGGACATTTTATCTTCCGGTTCCCTTTTGTAGAATGCAAGGGCGTAGGTTTGCTCTTGACATTGGTGGGGATCCATGAATCAAATACTTATTTTTGCTGCCGCCATCCTCACTTGCTTATCACCCACCTCATACACCTTCTTGCACGGGAAAACTGCCCCGCAGTTATAGCGCTGCTTGCATCAAAACATAGCTAGAGCCTCTCACATGACAGCAGAGAAAGGCACAGCCAATCACAACTCGAGTAGAGTACATGATTTAACCCTTTCTGTATGTCTGGCAACGCAGTGGTGCAGTAGGTAGTGCTGTCGCCTCACAGCAAGAAGGTTTGAGCCTCAGCTGGGTCAGTTGGCATTTCTGTGTGGAGTTTGTATGTTCTCCCTGCATTCGCATGGGTTTCCACCGGGTGCTCCAGATTCCCCCACAGTCCAAAGACATGCGGTACAGGTGAATTGCATAGGCTAAATTGTCCATAGTGTATGAGTGTGAATGACAGTGTGAGGATGTTTCCCAGAGATGGGTTGCAGCTGGAAAGGCATCTGCTGTGTAAAAACGTGCTGGATAAGTTGGCGGTTCATTCCACTGTGACGACCCCAGATTACTAAAGGGACTAAGCCAAAAAGAAAATGAATGAATGATGCATGTCTAGGTTAATGTTGACGTTAATCAAGTTAGTTAAATTATTAGTGGGGACATTTCAGTAGTCGATGGCTATTGGTGGAGACACACACGTCCTCTCCGTCAATGCTAATTCTACACCCCTGGTAGAATAAGAAAACAAACCACTGTCTGTAACAGTTGCGAAAAGACCTATCCTTACACGCAGAGGCAGATTTTCAGTCGGCTACCATCAATTTGATGTGTATACAGTATGTGCAGCTTTTTGGTCCAGACAGGACCAGGCGCGAGCACTAGTTGTTTGGTGTTGAATTAATGTGTCCTGGCCTTAATAAAATGCACAACTTTTATGTTTTTCATGTTTGGTTTTCTGGAAATTGATGGTGTATGATGCCATTAGGCATGCAGAACACAATCCATGCCACTTGTTAAAATTTCTCATTTTTTCAGTATTTGAACACTCTCCAAAACATCTGGGATAAATTCAAGCATAAGCCTAATTCAGCTAAATATATAACAATAAGGGTTTTTGTATATTTGTTGGATAACAAATCTTACATATTGTGCCTTTAAAAATAACAGTGTCTAAGCTAAGCGAACCAATTCATCATTTGCTTTTTTGTACAACAAAAAAACCTAAAGACCAGAATCAGTGGTGTGAACAAACCCTAAATGTTTAAGTACCTTTTTGGGGTTTCTCCATTTAAACATATGACATCATGTTCATTCTGCAAGTCCAATAGCATTATCTGGCCTACTTTATCTGGCAGTAAATTTACTAAAAGACCAAGAAGCACAAGGTTGTGCAGAGATGGGAATTTATGTCAGATGTAAACAGTGTAATGCAAAAAATATTCAACATTCAGAATCACACTCATGTTGCACAAGTAAGATTAGCAAAGCCATTGTAAATGTTGTCCATTGTAATGCACAGCAAGTCAGAAAACCTGTATCAGAAGAAAATTGATTTAAGTAATATCAAATGAATTCACATCATCTTCATTTTGTTGAGATGCTTTATGAGACCAAGTGTTGATTTATTACAGACAAACAATTGCCATTCCACACGTTAGATTAGAAATGAAAGTCAAAAAAGAAAGTCTTGAACTTGAGATGATAAACTGAGCTAGAAATCTTAAGGATAAGCACATGCATGTGTGCATGGAAAAGAGGAGAAAGATTAATTCTGGCATTTCTGTAACATAAGGACTGCTGACCCTCAAAGACCCATTCCCAGATAATCAAGATTACACAAAACTAAAACAGTGCGTCAGCCCCACCCCTTTTGTCATGATTATATATAAACAAAAGAAAGGAAAATGGTCAGTCAGGATTATAGATAAGAAGCATCAATTTGCCGCCTTACCGCATCAAATCCAACGCAACGTGAAAGGCACAATGATCATTCCTGCAAGCCGCGCGTTGTTTTCATTCGGACCACGCATTCAAAACAAAAATGATCACCGCTGACACAGAACGTATCCGTTTCTTAATGCGAGAGCAAACCCCTTTAGCCAAAGAGCAGTCTGTGATGATGGAATGAACAGGAACCGCAAGAGGTCATAAATCGCATGTAGCCTTTGGGCGTAAATGATAGCGTTGGGAAGATCTGTTCATTTAAGAGAATCGGTTCCTTCAGACAATTCATCTCGATGGACCGTTTTGAGGGTGACTCACCGTTTGTTTCTTAGCTCTTAAAGCTCCACAAGCCCTAAATGTACGTTCAACTTTTTTATTAAATGTTGCTTATATCACTATGCTATGTTTTTTTTAATTATATGAATTTCGGCTATTTGTTAATTTATTGTTATGTTGATCATAGCCTTGATGATAGCTGTATGCTAAAATAGGTGCTATGCAAAAATAAATTATATAATAATTTAAATATAAACTATTTTTTGCATAAATAATTAGGCCTATTATCATAACGTACGAATAAATAAAAAATAGAGAAAGTTAATAGATAACATTTAAATAATTCCTGTAAACTATAGCTAAGGCTATGATATGATTTATTCATTCATTTTCTTAGTCATAGTCCCTTTATTAATCTGGGGTTGCCACAGCAGAATGAACATCCAACTTATCCAGCATGTTTCACGCAGCGGATGCCCTTCCAGCTGCAACCATCACTGGGGAAACACCCATGCACTCCCTATCACACACATGCAGAGCGGACATATGTCTTTGGACTTGTGGGGGAAACCGGAGCACCCGAAGGAAACCCACGCCAACACGGGGAGAACATGCAAACTCCACACAGAAATGCCAACTGACCCAGCCGAGGCTCGAACCACCTTTTAGCTGTGAGGCCATCATGCTACCAACTGCGCTTGCTATGATATTATATCTTTTTAAATTTAGTCATGTTCATTATATGAATAAATATATCACTTGTATTAACTAGATTTAGATCCCTCTTTCAAAGTTCAATGTCAGTCCATACCTTTACTCCAGTGATTTGAGATTCAAATGAACCGACTCAAGCGAATGATTCCAGTGGGATTCGGACACCTAGTCATGGATACACCACCCAAGTGAATGGAATGCCAACCATGTGCTTTAAAGAGGGGCATCACTGCCTATCTAACATATCCGACAAACACATCAACAAATAAATAAACAAGCATTTTCGGTGGTGCGCGCGTGATCCGTCCAGCAGCAGTTCTGGAGGCGACTCGATGTCACGAGACACGAGATTAATGATCATATTAGGGAGTCAGTCCCATGCACAATGCAAAACAAAATCTCTTTCATTATTGTTATTGTTAATGCTTTTTAATAGTATTCACTATTAGAAGAAATGTGTACAGAAAACGTGGTGTTATTATTAGTATGATTTTTTTACACATGGTTAATCTTTGACGTCTCGCCAGGAAGCAGCGATAATGATTTTTCGTTTGAACCCAATAACACGGACTATAATAAAACACTCTGAAGTGAATTTGACATTTTACAGACAACAGCTGGGCGTGAGAACTTTAACATGCATCCCGTGGCTTCTAATTCCAAAAGGCGATCACTTCTGTATAGATCAAGGCAATGAGCACAATAGAACAGACAATAGGTGTAGCACCGCTAGAAACTTACCTGATGGACACGCCAACATATCCCTTAAAATGATCCGATGATCAATACGCTGTACCCAGATTTATCCACTATCAGACATTGCTACCAGTCTGGCGGCAGTAATGATAGTATCCTTCACAGGCGGAGCACACAGGCGATGCACTCTGGCAGAGGAGGTGGAGGGACCCAGACACATTACAGAGAGCGGCGCTAGGGGGAGTTTCGGCTCTAATTAGACAAACGCTGGGATTTGGGAAGATATTCTGTATGTGATCTTTGTTTTTTTAGGAATAAGCAGTAACGACATTAAATACATATATTTTCTATCAGTAATGCTGGTGTATGCTATTAATTATGACATTGTTTTGAATGTTGAAGCCTACAAAACATGATTTGATTAGAATAATCCATAAATTTATAGGCAAATTACCGGTTTGTAAACATTTAGGATGCGCGCGCATCAAGGTTGCAGAAAGAAACAGGGAGCGCTAGAGGCAATGACATCCGATGTGGTCCAAAGTTTGTTGTTATTCATAAGTTATATATATATATATATATATATTTACATATTATATCATTTACATAATGCTTTCAGCATATTATAACAGCTGGTCACCCAGTGATAAGCACAGTTATTCAGCAAAATTAACGTGAGTGAGCGGCATTCGTCTGACAAGTTCATTTGCGACAGCACCCTTCCAAGCGCATCCAGCCTATCTATCTCATTGAAACTCCAAGTGATTTTACAAGAGAGAAGTTAAAGGTCTACAAGTCTTTGGATGCCTACAATTGTGTTCTGTGTGGTCATGTGCAAGAAATAATGTTGATTACCAGATTCAAAACTTTGTAGTGCTAAAAAACCAAGGTTCTGCCTAGCCAAAGACAAGGAAAGAAGATGGATCTGTACAAGGTCTGGGTAATCATCAACAAGTAAAACAACTGCATTCTGCCAGCAAACTGCACCTGTAAGACAGGGTATGTGAACTTACATTTTTACATTTCATTCTTAGCATTCAGTGTCTGCAGTTTAATTAACCGTATGTAACAGTTTTTGCTAAAATCATTGCTGCAACCAAAAACGAGTTAGGTGTGTAATTCAGCATAGCTTGGACTGGTCTGATAAAAAAAATGAGAAATGCAGAGTCCAGCATTTTAAATTAGGTCCTCACTCCATTCAGTTCTTCTGATGGCTGTTAGCCAATGACATCTGCAGTTTGACATTAAAAACAGTGTGGTGTACGGTAAAATGTAAGTTTTTGACATCTTACTGCACAACGCAACATGTTTGCTGTTGCAACTGGTCTTTTTGTGCAACCGCCATGTGCGGTTGAACGCGTGTGATGTCATGTGTGACGTAGGTAAGTAATTCCCCTATATGAATCTATATTAACTTTATGAGCTTTCATTAGCAGTGCATTTTTCAGTAACATCTGTGACTGGGGATTAGTGACTGTCATAACAGTAACTATGCGGTAAATTATGGTTAATTTTTTGTACAAAATGCTATTTTTTTGCTTAATTTAAGATCTATCGGCATAAGCTGTATTAATGTGGTTTTACCTGCAATTTTATTTATTTATTTTTTAAAACTTGTGCATACAATGAATCACCAATGACCATGGCTAAATTTAATTTTACTACGTTGTACCTAATGAATTGAATAAAACATAATTGGTGTAAATGAGTGTGTATGGATGTTTCCCAGTACTGGTTTGCAGCTGGAAGAGCATCCGCTGCGTAAAACATATGCTAAATAAGTTGTCGGTTCATTCCACTTGGGCGACCCCTGATGAATAAAGGGACTAAGCCAAAAGAAAATAAATGAATGAAACGTTGTACCTGAGGGCAGGGCCGATTTAGTGATTTAGGGGCCCTAAGCAACTACAGCCATGGGGCCCAAGTCCTGAAATACACTCTTTCTGCTTTTTATTTTTATTTTTATTTTTTTATTTTGTTGTTGTTTTTTTCCATGTTTTATCTTAATGCAAGCTCTACATTTTAATTGATTAAATTTCTTTAAATTCATTTACAACTAAAAATAATAAATATCTATATTTTTATAAATCTGCTGGACTGCTCCATGATTGGGGGTGGTGGATATTTTATAATTTTATAATTACATAACATTACATTATTATAATAATATTACTTTTATTGTATATCAAATAATATCATATTTAGTGTTGTATTTGTACAAATTGTATTTGTTTGACTTTCACTATACAACACATGACAGAAAATTATGTTATATATAGTTTATAGATATAATTTACACTTCTGGATATTTATTGGGGGCCCTCAGATGTCCTGGGGCCCTAAGTGGACGCTTACCTTGCTTATTGGGAAAATCCGCCCCTGGGGTGTAAATTAATTATAGATTTTAACATCTAATTGAACTTTCCCTTTAAGAGTGAGTCACTGAATTAATCATTCAACCCCTTTGTTCAAATCCACCTTTTAATTCAGGGAACAAAACTTGTATCTGAATTAGTTAATTTCTAAAGATGTATAATTATTTTCAACAAGTAATTATTTTGAAGCCACATGAACAACATTTTCTGTTCATTCATTCATTCATTCATTCATTCATTCATTTTCTTTTCAGCTTAGTCCCTTTACTAATCTGGGGTCGCCACAGCGGAATGAACCGCCAACTTATCCAGCACGTTTATGCAGCGGATGCCCCTCCAGCTGCAACCCATCACTGAGAAACACCCATTCACACTAATTTACACACATACACTACTAACAATTTTAGCTTACCCAGTTCACCTGTACCGCATGTCTGTGAACTTGGGAACACTGGAGCACCCGGAGGAAACCACGCAAACACTGGGAGTACATGCAAACTCCACAGAAACGCCAACTGACCCAGTCGAGGCTCGAATCAGAAAACTTCTTGCTGTGAGGAAACTGACAAATGAATTGAAATTACCTCTACAAAGTAAATGACTTAATGTCAACTGTGTTTACTGATGTTGCATTAAAGCAATGTCACAATGAAAATGGGGACTGCGTGCAACAAACTTTCATACTCTGTAAAACAGGTCGCATCGCTTCCAGTTGAGGTCCTTTGTTTGTGCTTCATTAAATATGCAGCTGTTTCCTCAAGCTGCCTTAAGGAGCTGAGAAGTATAACTGATGCTCATCACGTGTTTTATTAATTCATTAATTATTTTTTTTTTAAATCTTTTAAACGTTTTCTTGTTCGTTCATGTGCCTTTGCCCTAAAGCCTGTCATGCTATGGTTTGATTAGCCTATAGACAAAGATTGAACCTAAAGATATTCAGATCAACATATACAACAGCACTCAATCACTTATATCAGGTTAAATATGATGTTTACATTGAGTTATCAGATTCTGTCCCTCTTTTTGTTTCCTTTACAGTTTTCCTATACGTCTGCAGTCTTCCTTGACATCCTGATTGCATCCAGCTATCATAGCCCATAAAACTGATGAAGCGAGAGAGATGCAGAGAGAGCTTTCTACCATTAAATATAGCTCCATCCCCCATATCCATCCACTCTTCCAGCCACTTAAATCTTTTCACTGTACGGTCACAAAATGAGTCTGATAACTGATTGATATATTGTCATAACAAAAACCCAGCATCTTACAGAGTATTTGATAAATAAAAAAGTCTATACATTCAATTTACCTGAAGCCTACTGATTGAAGGCTAGTTGAACAACAAAATGCGAATACACAAATGAGCTGTTAGTAGGCTATTGCACTCTGACGTCCTATGAATAAATAAATGCTTCTGTTTAACTTTCTTCCTTTTTATCCTTGGAACAATTTTGCTGGAAATAATAGACCTTTTATCAGCAGAATAGTTTTAGTTTTAAATCTTTAGTTAGTCCAGCCTACATAAAATCTCATGATCTATCTGAACACACACACACACACACACACACACACACACACACACACACACACACACACACACACACACACACACACACACACACACACACACACACACAAAAAAAAAAAACTTAAATCTAAACGTCTTTTCAAGATATTGATTTTTCTTTAACCTAAATCAGTGTCCACCAACACTGCATGTTTTGGCTGTCTGCTTTGTCTATCACACCTATTACAAGTCTTTCAGTCTCTGCTAACGAGCTGATGATCTGAATCAGGTGTGTTTGGTTAAGGGGACATGAAAAATGTGCAGAGCTGGTGGTCCTCCAGAAAAGTGGTGAGAAACACTGGCCTAAATGTTACTTTGTATCCTACACTGAAAAGGGAAAATGTACTGCTCCTCATTGGCCAAAAGGGGGAGGCAAAGACTTGTCCTATAGTGTTGCACGCGATTGAAAACCACTCAGACTTCTTTAAAGGTAAACAGATATATTTCTGTTTGCAGAGTAACATGTACACACTTTTGTTTTAACTTAATTTATTTCCAAATAATAAAGATACAGTAGGCCTAGCCGTAGTAGCAAAATAATAATATTAATAATATCAATAATAACAGGTCTAACAACAATAATAATGCAAATAAGCATATCTGGAAAAAATATGTATATATAATGAATAAATTATAAAAATGATATTTTCTGATTCGTTTTCATCCTTATTTTAATTCAGCAATCAAAAAGACTTTCGGTTTGTCCACTAAGTGACGCTAGTGAACACCCAAGGCCTCACACAAAGTTTCTGCTTTGACTGGGTGGCATTTGTCACGGTTTTCAGTCCTGGGGACCCGCATCACTGCACATTTTCTCTGTTATGTGACCCGTTCAGTTCAGTTCACTGAGCTCTTTGCTAATGTGCCGATGATTTGATTCAGGTGTGTTAAATAAGAGAGATGTACAGTGCTCTAAACAGAAGGTTATTTGTCTGTTGTTTTGTTTACTGGTCCAAAAATATTTTTACATTTGCAAATATGAAAAAAGATAAGATTTGGATTGATCTATAAGTTTTTTTTTTGTTTGGTTGATTCTACGGTGTAAGTCTTAGTACACTAGTAGATGAGTAATTAATGTTTTAAATGTTTTATCAGTAGCATATTATCATTGTCAACAATATTTCTGATTTGTGTTTCTGTACAGAAAATCTAGACATTTCCATTGTTTTATACACACAAAAGTGTTTAGCATTTTTTTTTTACTTCAGTGCATTTTGAAATGGAGATTGGCCGAATAAATCTGGATGGTGAAAACCACACAATGTTGATAAAACATTGATTATTATTTAAGTATCAAAAATAAATATATAATTTAGCAATATATATATATATATATATATATATATATATATATATATATATATATATATAAACACACTAGATGGGCGTACAATAATATCTAATGCGGCAGCAGTCATGCATTTACTAGTTTTGGTACTGGGCTGTACAGCGCATCAGCAACTTTATGGTGAAAAAAATTTCCCTTCCATAACCTTTCCAAAATCCCGGCATAGCCTTAGTTTGGGCGATTGGTTTTTACAAATCTTGATGTTGACCGCATCAACAAATGCATGCGCCGACTATGTCAGTGTGTCATTGTGTGATGAAAATCTGATCATTGTATGTGTGACGCGTGCACAGATGGTCCGGGAGTGCACGCGCAGCCGGGTCGCATTGTTCTGAGTGTGACACTTTCTATGCGCGAGCTAATGAGAACAGACTGACTCTCGTTTTCCCCTCTAAGCAGTTTTTTCTGGTCTTTTCTTTATAAACACCCTTAATATCATCTGTCTCTCATCCGTCCGTTTCCATCTGGCACCAAATAATTTAACCAATTTGACAGATTGACCCGGTATAAGATAGATAGATAGATAGATAGATAGATAGATAGATAGATAGATAGATAGATAGATAGATAGATAGATAGATAGATAGATAGATAGATAGATAGATAGATAGATAGATAGATAGACACACTTCAACATTTTTCAAACAGATGGAATGAAGAAAGACTGTGCTTTAGATTTTTCAATAGGTTTTTAAACAGATGGAGTGAAAGGGGACTATATGGCCACTTGTTTGATGAAATGGTTCGCTGTTTTGTTTGCACTGAATAGCCTATTATCTAAGACACATGTAGAGACGACAGATTGGCTCTTTGCATGAAGGGTCAGCGTCTAATCTGGCTACCTGAGTTTAAGGCTAATGTATTCGACCCTTCTCCATCATGACATACACGCAGACATATGGTATTACAGCAGGGCTAAGGGTCATTCATTACATAATCCTCTAACGAGGCCTGTTCACTTCCGGCATGGAAACACACAAACTAATCAGCCTATATTCGCCAGTGTGAGGAACTTCATGCTGGACTTCTTGGCATGCGCGTTAAATTAGGCGCACATGTTAAATATTCAAAATGAAGGATTTTTAAAAATTATTATTCACATAAACGTGCTATTTTCTAAGCAATTCCCCCTAAACTAACCTCTTATTTAGGCTGCTGATTGAGTGGCAGAGATTGATTGCAAATCTTAAAGGTGGAACATCATCAGCTGAGTAAAGTTAAGATGTTTAATGTGAAATCTGATCAAGTCTTGGACACGTACGCACACACGCGCATATGCTCTCTTGCTCTTTCCCACGGGACGCAGCAGACGGGTCGTAATTTGGTTGCCTTGGCCCGTCTGGACAAGCACCTGTCTCCTCTCTAGGGAGAAAGTCGCCTTTGGGCCGTGAGCAAAGCGAACTGTGCATGTGTGTGTGACAGCATTGAAAAAAAATGTTTTTTAAATAGCAAAATAATATTACAACTCACATAATCTCAAACAACAGTTCATTTCGTTGAAAATGCCGTCTTACAAAAGTTAAAAAGCATGGTAGAGAACATTGGTGACACAATATCTTTAATTTCATATTGTTTTTTTTTATTTAAAAACTACAACAGACGATTTACCTTTGAATTAATCTTTTACTATTTATTCTAAAATAGTTATGAAAAAACTGCGATACAAACCAGTGTATGCTACTGGCTATCCCACTACAAAATGACGGACAAACCCCGACTTAACAGGGTGATCTTTGGATATGAGGCAGATGTGAGATAATTTGATCACTATAAAATTTCCAAAAGGTTCACAAGGATCACGTAAACAAATAATCTCTATACATAGTTTCTAAAAGAAAAAAATAAACCTACTTTGAGATCATTTTTGGTCGCAGCAAAGAGAGCATCTATGGGTAGCTTGTAGACTTGTTTGGTAAGCAAATCGCTTTTTATAAAGGTTACTGCAAATTGTTTTTTTTTTACATTGATTATTACTGAATATAGTATGATACTAAACCAACACAAGTCATCTGGTACCCAAAGCGCTATCTATGAGCACTTTGTAAACAAAATAAACAATACAGCAATAGATCCTATCCGATGGGAAGTGCTTCTCGTTATCAGAGGACAGGACATCAACAGCAACACCATTTTAGTAACCGTAGTGCACACACAGCAAAGGCCCTCCTACTCCTACAAAAACTGCCAATGAAAAGTGCAAGTGAAAAGCAACAATAAACCCAAAACTCTGCCTAAAATAATAATAATTAATAATAATAATAATAATAAAAACATTAAATATTTACATGTTTACGTAAACACTTTAGATAATCTATTTTAAGGACACTCACATAACTTAATTTACTTAATAAATAAAACAAACAGGAAAAATATAAATTAACAACTAACAAGGTTACGATTTGTTCCAGCACACAGAAGTAGCCTATACATTTTGAGCTCAACTGAGCTCAGCAAATCCGTTTGCGACATACATGTTATTTGTTTCGATGACGTGAATTATGAAGGTCCAAAAAAAATATTTTCAAAACAAATTATTGCCACAAATGTGCTTATGAGCTTGGATGTTGAACAGGTTGTCTAATATCTGAACAGCCATCTTTCAAACAGAACAAAAACTCTTGCTACAGTGTCAAATACAAGATTCAGTTATTGCAACAGGTAAAATATTTTCAGGTAACACTTTATAATAACTTTCATAATGCCTTGTGTTTTTCAATGAACTGTGCGTTTTCGATTTGATCGTGAACTGTTTAGTTTTTTGTAATTACAGCATAAATTATAATCTGTAGTTAAATTTGTGAAAACACTGCTTTTTTAAAAACATCCTCCCAAACCATAAAAGGCATTATGTGCAGAATAAAAACATACATGTAACTGAAAGTAAATATAAAATGTTACCATTTCCATCCTTAATATTTGTGTATACTGCTGGAATATGCTACTTCTCAATGTCTATAAAATAATTCTTTAAACACCTGTTGTTTTGTGGTACTGTTAAATGTGCCTAAAGTTCATCTAAACGTCCAAAACGTGGTTGAGATAAGAAATGTAACAGATAGCAAGGCGAAGTATTTCTATCTTGGATAGCTTCTTGTCGGGTGGAAGTGTTGGCAGCAGCTTCCTGAGCTCGGCGAACGCCACGTTGAACGCTTCTACTCTGATGCGCTCGCGCGTGGCATGCGCAGAGCGGTACTTCGCAGTCGCGCGCCTCCTTCGTCTCTTCTCCTCTCGGGTGAGCGCGGCGGGCACGAGTGCGCGAGTCTTGCCATCGTCGGCCTCTAAGGGCTCGTGTGCCACACACTCCACCTTCATGACGTTCAGACAATCCGTGTCCGACTGTGTCCAGGTGAGGTCAGGATCCGTCTGATCGGGGCTCAGCATCATTTTCAGGTCCGTTTGATCGAGGCTTCCTAAGTGCACTGGATGTTATCTTGCCCTGGTGAATTAGACGCAAAAGATTGAAGTTTTACAAAAGAATAAATAATCTATAAATGTCATAATCCATATAGCTACTAAAATAAAACAAAATAGATGAACAAATCGAACTGATGTTAATCAAAAGGTTATAATGTTTAGACTGAATGTTTTTCTTATATTAAGATTATAATAAGTGTTGCATGTTTTTATTTTTATTTTGTTACTTTAATACTTTGAAACAGTTAAAGAGCTACCATGTTTTTAAATGGCTGTCAGTGTGCGTTTTGCAATTTAGCTCATTCTGGACACGTTACCATTATAAATGTGCTCTAATTCCATGCAAAAGTTAATGGAAATCAATTATTGCCACAAAAGCAAAGTCATAGCTGACCATCTGTCGCAAATGCAAATGCAGAGCCTATAGCTCCAGATGACACAAGGGTGCTTGGATCTCAGTCACTGTGAATCACAAGTAACATTTGAAAGAAAATACTTTAATAAACTGATTGAGTGTTTTGTTTACATATTTTTTTGATGTAGCGATGTTACATTTATTTGCATGTCATTTTGCTATTTGCTGGGCCACTGAGTAATGAATCTGAGATAATATAACACAAATTCTAACCAAACGAAGGTTTAATTGCTGTCTTAAAATGTTCAAGAATAATATTTTAAGGTGTCAGCGTGTCAATCTGAAGTCGTTAATTCATAGCACCTTTTCACCTGCTTTGACTTTAATTGGTGATGGAAATTAAGTTTAAATTTTGAAAACTCATTACGTGTCAAGCTATTGGAAATTATTGCGACAGGCAAGGGATGAAATCGAAGATGTTGCTAATAAATTACGAGGATATAAAATATCAATGCACATATTTTTTTGCCAATCTGCACTGTTGCTATAGCTAATAATTTATTAAAATGCAATTTGGTGTGTAATAGCATAGACCCTGTGATGTAAAATATTGTTTCATAATAATCACAACACGAAGACGATTAAAAAGTACCACCAACAATTAGTTAAATTATTTTATAACTCACCCCTGTTAACGACGAGAATCAATTTAACCTCCAAAATCCCGTTTATCAAGTCAGTTTTCAGTGATTCATGTTCTTCTGTCCATTGTGCTTTCTGAATTTCTATTTCGGCATCGGCAAGAGCATTTCTCGGTTATATTTTCCTCGCCACTAATTCCACTCACAACGCAACCGGTAACGTAGATTCGCGTTGTTGTGATGATGAAATTTCAGTAAGCATTGGTACCGAACGGATGTAAATAACAGCACCGGTAACGCACGCTCGGGGATGTGCTGCCCTCTGACCCGTGTGTGTGGATAACAATGGACACGCGTCCTCAGATAAGATCGACCAGATCAGAAAGTGTCGTCTCGGGCTGTCCTTTATGTTTCCGTGGATTAGGATAATATTGCTCCAGCCATCCTCACAACCACGCGTGCTTGTCCTCGTGCCTCTGATGATTTGAGAGATAACACATTCCGCTGGCTCCATATAAAGCCTCCCTCTCTCTCGCGCGCGCTCCCTCTTACAAATCATTCACTTTATGCACTTATCCACGACAGTCACACCTCCGTCCCACCCCCTCTTTTCTCTTTCTCTTTTCTCTCTCCTTTCCACTCAGCGACTTCTTCCTCGACCAGATTGAAAGGAGCGCCCGAGGCGAGAGCTGGACGCTTGGCAGTAACGTATGCGTTGTACGCCTGTTAAAGTGGTGCAATTGTTTGTGAAAGTTTCAGCTGCTTAACTAAATTAAGCGTTCAGTTATATATTTTTAAGAAAACCCCATGATATTAGGGTGACTTTTAATCCTAACTCAGTTTAATAGCAAGCCTATTATTAATTATTTGAATATATTTACACTATTGAGAAAATATTGGTTGCGCTTTTTTGACAGTATAGGGTATGTCACGTGAGCTTACAATATACTTAGCCTTAAGTGCTGCAGCTACAAGGGTTAAGGTTATTACCCAGTTTATGTACAAGTGCATGTGAAACTGCACTGTGCTAGCAAAATATCTACAAAACACTAAACTGAATTGATTGTAAATGTTCAAGTGAATAAAGGAACTTGTGTCAAATTTGCTGTTTATTTACCCAAACTCTGCCCAAAAAAAAAGTGAGAACAGAAATTGAATGCAGATCATGGTCCTCTGTTAGCACAAATACAAGTTTACTAACAGCGTTTTAAGAGTAAAGATACAACTAAACAAATAAATAAAAATAAATTAACAAGTAGTTATAAAACATAGAGGCAAAACAAAATGAATATCCATGGAATCATTTTCCATTGGAAACAGAGTTAGTACAGACGAATCAGCTTGCCTCCTAAAAAAATTGTACTTTACTTGAATTTTATGAATCATCAAATGCCACAAGTTTAGTGAAATATTCATTTAGCATAAAACGACCCCTTTACAATGTATTCTATGCTTTACTTGAATCACTTAACAGGCATCCTAACCACCTGGTTGTCCAGGTTATCATTAATACTTTGATTGGTTTTTACTATTTATCAGAGTTGTGTCAGCATATTATTCAATTCAAGATGTGGGCCAAATAAAATATTTTCAAGGAGTGCACCTTAAAGGGTTAAACTCTGTAAATGAGGTTTGCTAAAGTTTTACTTATGTTTTTGTCAATCTATTTACAAATTTGTAACAATTTGCATTTTAGCACCAAAAGATACTGAGTTAAAGAATAAACCTTTCAAGTTTTATCGATATTTAGGGTGCAAAGAAGACCCTAATATTCCCATTCTACAAAATAGTATTTTCTCAGTGAAAAATAATCTTTAGATTTTGAACATATTCTTCACACTACACTCAAAAAGATAACTGTTTTATACTGCGATTAAAGAGTCAATGAAGAAACTTTAACATCCATGCAACCATGTCTTTGGTTCTTATGGGGCCAGAATGTTCTTTTTAAAGAACTGTCTTCTGAAAGGTTCTTCAGGAAACCCTGCAAACATCCCCCTTTAGAACCTTTCTTTTAACAATGTAAGAATTCTTTGCTTTTTTAACATTACACCACCCTTTCAATTTATGGTTATTCATTTTGGAAGCTCATTCATTCATTATTTCATTTTCTTGTCGGCTTAGTCCCTTTATTAATCCGAGGTCGCCATAGTGGAATGAACCGCCCATTTTTGAAGCTCTGATATCCAAATAAGTAAATCTAAAAATACTTGCTTGATATTTTAATAATCACAGCCAAAAAAGCAGTTACAAGACATGGTTTACTTCCTGAATCCCCAAAAATCCAAGAATAGCTAGAAATAGTGTATGATATTTATGTGATGGAAAAAATTTAATTCTTCCTTCGACCCCAATTATTGTATTTAGAAATATCTAGTCCAAGTGGACTAAATGTACTAGGTTGCTCCATCCAATCTTTGAAGAAGTATCAAAATATTACTATCTAATACCCATCCACAGAACAAACTTTTTTTTTTATTTACGACCCATTGCACTCCCCTTCTAAATTCTCTATTTAGATTAAGAATTTACAGCTGATAACAACTAAAGTAAAGTTGAGCAAATAAATAAAGATTTGACCCTCTCTGACCTATGTATATTCAGATATTGATGTTATTTATGTAATTATTTTATTGTTAGTTATTTTTATATATTTTATCTTACGAAACTTTTGTTTTGAATTTGGTTCTGTTACTTTATAGTTTGTACAAAGGAAAAATGTTTAGCAATAGGAAATGTAGACTCTTAAATTAAATCATTATGTTGCTACTATAAATAAAAAAACATAAAATAAAAATAATTTTTTGCTTTATTTTAAGCACTGTTCACTGAACAGGTTGTGTATTAATAGATAGATAGATAAATAAATAAATAAATAAATAAAATTGTAGTTTGTAAGAGTAATACATAAGAAATGTGAGTACTCATCAGCTAAGATCTTGCAAAGATCAATAATTCTATTATGCAGGGAAAAAAAATCCAGTTAGTAATGATTTGTTGAGAAATGCAAGATTTGATATGCTTGTTGAATTATACGACTAGAGGACAGCCTTGGAGACATTTGCTCTTCTCCACGAGAGACTGAATTTTAATAAGACATTTCTTATAAACACAAAAAGAACAGCGGCCAAACTTCTCGTAAAACACTCGTAAAGAGTATTTCACTCTAACAGGCACGCCAATGACGCATATAGATCCTCCCAGTCTGTGCATCCGATCTGAACAGACTGATGTAATATAATCAGTAAATAAACGTGTAGTTCAATACCAAGTTTGATGGGTAAAATAGGGTCTTTAATAAAAAATGAAAGCATTGGCATTCTTCAGGATCCACACATCGTCCTCTGCCTGATAATGCTGTAGACTATTATTGATCACGGCTGATGAGATGTATTAGATGCCATTAATACCTTTTATTTCTGTCCTGTGTTTGTGAAGAAAGTCAGCTGGTCCGCTATTTCCTGCAAAACACCCCTCCCCTCCTCACACGTACACATATAAATACACAGAGTCAAATGTGAGAAAGAGGCATATGGCTTCCAGAGTCACCCATCCCCCCTCTGCTGCCCTTTTTTGCCTGGTGCATGTGTTCAGATCTGGGCATTGCTTTGGGAAGGGGGCAAAGACCTCACTGACTGAATTAAGGTCTGCTCTCTCTCTCTCTCTCTCTCTTTCTGTGTGTGTGTGTTGTGTGTTGGGGCAGCTGGCTGATGTTGCTGGAAGGATGGAAAGATGGATGGGTGGATGGAGAGATGGATGGAGGCAGGATGTCTGACCCAGGGCCAGTAGTGGGGTATGAAAATAGTAAGACCCAGAGAGAGAAAAACAATAGAGGGGAGGACATGGAGAACTGGGCATGACGAGAGGAAAAGACAATGGGGTTGGTTCGAGTCAAGCAAAGATCATATGTCTTTTGGGCAGTATTCTGAGTGTGATGTTGTGGTCTGTTTGTAAAGGCTTTGTTTTTTGTATATTTTGGCTTCGTGCGATTCTATCCAGCACCGAAAGGAACATATGTTGTCCTGT